TTTAAACATTGTCCTTCATTAAGTTGCAACTCATTTGTTGTTCTATTGTCTAGTAGGATATACAGATTTGTTGAGCGATTTACCATGCCTATTTGTTATTCTTTTTCAGAATATAAAAACACGTCGTGGTCTTATGTTAAAATTTGTACTAGTCCGATATTTTCTTATTTATGAATTATTTATTTTAATTTAATTTTTTTAAGAGGACACCCCTGTTAAAAATTTCTAGATCCGCCACTGTCTACAAATCTCTTTCAATATATTCTACTATACGAGAAAGCCCGTAACCATTAGTTTTTGAAAATAATTGGGAATAAGAAATAATTTTTACTATTATATTTGGATTTTAAGATACCAAAAACAAATGAGTTGTAGTAACGCAGTATTAACTATATTATTCCCAATCGACCACCAAGTATAACCAACGACTGAGTGAAGAATATGACAAGTATTTAAATGCCAATCCGAGACGGTCCATATATCCCTACTTCAGTCGTTTAAAATGTTATCTAGCAAACGGTTTGGAGTTAAAAACTAAGGAACTACAATTGAAAACAAGCAAAGAAAGTAAGTTGTGGTGAATCGATGTGAGAAAGCTTCACCCGGGTATCGCTCCCCCTAATCTCGTGTCAAGGTCAACCGAATGGAACTCTAGTGTGGTGAGTGTGATTATATACCGTGAGGAGGATGCAATTAGTAGGAGAACCCAACTCTCTTAATCAATTAATCAAGGATTGTCACAATAAGCTAGGAAGTTAGCTCTCTTGACTAATCGACTAAGGATTGCAAAGACCATTCCCTCGGAAGCTAATCCGGAATGGCGAAAAATAACCAATCACGATGAATTCATGACAGTAATCCGACCGATGTTTGAGGCTTGCCCTTAATTGCCCTAGATGGGGTTACCATGGTAAGATGCTTCTCTTCCCTCCTAAGTGTTTGGATTGCTTCCTTGGAGGAGAAATCTCCAATCTTCAAGTCTTGGGTAGGACAACCCTTCTTCTTTCTCTCTCTAACTGACAAAGAAGAACCCAATCTCTCTCCAGAACTCTCTTTAGGTTCAACTCTCTTCTCTGTCTATATTCCAGTCGGACACTTTTCATGGTCAATTGTCACACTCGTGATGTTGGAAGCTTGCCCATGATCTCGGCCCAAAAATGCGTTGTTTCATTAATAAACTTCACAACCGGGTGAAAATTTTCACAGTCTGGTGACCGTGATATCTGACTTACCCATGAGACGTGCAAAGTCTTTTGGAAGCTGTCCATCTTCACGGTCTAGGCTCCATCTTCACGCTCGGCTGACCGTAATAAGTGCACCTTGGGCGTGATCTCTGCCTGTTTGTTCATTTCGCTCCATTTTCACCATCTTTCGTTTGACTTTCACTCCCGAGGCCAATTTCCCCTACTAAGATCCGAAACATGCTAAAATACGCATAACCTAGGATAAAATTGCTACTTGGACGATGTAAACGCCACAAATATCACAAGATAACGGGATAAAAACATGTGTAATTATGTCCGAATCATGTAGTCTAATGAAAAATATGTTTGGTAATAGTGGCAATGACCCAAGTTCAATCACATATGCTACCACTTAAATATTTTTATTTATCTATACGCAAACTACTATTGAGGGGTTGGATAATCATTTTTTTTTCAATTATAGGGGTATCCCTCTACCACTTAAATTTTTTTTTTTGTCAATACGCAAACTACTATCAACGGTTAAATAATCATTTTCCCAAATTTTAGGGGTGTTCTTAGAGCATCATGGATCTGCCACTGAGTATAATACACTTACATACATGCAAATATGGTTATGGTGCTAATAGCATAACCCGTTAACACGTGTCGACATATCTTGTACACCATCGAATCAAGGTGTGAATTGTTTGTGGTTGTTGAATGAACATGGAAGTTCTAGAGTTTGTTAAGGAAGACATCACGTGCCAACGAAGAGGGAAAACAAATAGGTGTTTTCTGGTCTCACCTAGACCGAGGGTGCTTGTATGGATCAGCTAACACTAAGGCACTCAGACTCTATACATATCCCTACACAACATTTTGCATACCTTAGTTGACCCCCTAGCCTTAGTTAGCGGAGCCATACATAAAGGTCTTGTCACCATAATCACAATCTTACTTAGTTAGCATTCTGGCATGAAGGTCTATGGTTTCTCAATGGACCAAGACAATCTTACTTGGTTAGCACTCTGGCATCAAGCATTCTACAGAGAGACCATAGACCTTGATCTATATAGATTGGTCCGACTTTTCAGGTTAGACAAATTAAGAAAATTCTATCTCCCTTTTTTCGAGAAATCTCATTGTCTTATGCAACCTCTCTAAGTCTTGCAAAAAGAAATAACCATCAGTGCTCATCCAGAGGAGCCACATGAAACATACATTTTCCCACTTGCACATGAAAATATTGTTCTCTCATAGATGCCATGGACCCCACAGAACACCTAGGAGTCAGTCGTTTCATCAGGGAATTGAAAAATCAAGAGCTTATATCACACCACAAAACCCTAGTTGCTCTAACGTAGGACTGGATCACAAAAAGAGGAAGGGAGGAAATATGAATTGACCTACCAAACAATTACTCCTGCGAGATGCCCCTCTATCTAAGATATCCTTCGGAAATCACAGTGCATCATTGACCAGTTTAGGTTCGATATAATGGAGACGAATATCTTCTGCATTGGTAAAGAGATTAGTCCAGGACTTGCCTCCCATGGCAGAACTGGACGCCATGAAACAAGCACACGCTACCACTGAGAGAGGAAGACCGATGAAAAATTTATCGGCAATACCAGAAAAGAAGGAACAACCCACACACTAGAAAAGTTGGGAGACAAGGAACGAAAACAAGAACTAAAGAAATCTACCGAACCCTAAATCACTAAACACTTAATCCTTCAACTTCAAGTCCAAGTAAATCTTAAATAATTTTGAGCAAATTCATGTATTTTCTTGTTCATCATATCAATAGTGATGATTGACATTGTTTAAACAAGAATCGTCTACTAAGTGAGTGCAAATATAAACCCATAAATATATATTATTTATTTTAACAAAAAATTAAAAATTAAAAAAAGAAATTGAATGACTGTTTAGTTTGTTTGAAAACACAAGTAAATCCCCACTAAAACACAACATTTTACACTCTACCTTCACTCACCTTTTCTTTATTGGACAAAAGGAAGGAAAAAAAAGCTTCAAACCCACAAAACTCTAAAACCCACTCTTTGATTCATGTTAGATTACATATTTTTGCACCTATTTAACTTACAATTTTTAATATGTTTGTACCGTCCTTGCAGCTAGTTTACACGGAGTTTGTTCGTGTTTTGCCATGTTTCAGACCTAAGCATGTAATTTTGGCATCGAGATTGAAAGTCAGATGAAAGAGGGCGAAAATGAAGCAAAATGGTTGAAAGTGCAGAGATCACGATTGCAGAGCAATTATCACGAGCGAAAACCGTGATATCAACACTCGAACCCTAAAGTTCACAGGGTTCCAGGAGGATTTGTATGGCTCGCGGCCAGTGTCAAGATCAGGGTCTTCAGACCGTGATCTCAACAAGAGGCCCTTGAAGTTCGTTAGTGAAATGACACTCTTTGCGCCAAGATCATGGTTTCGCTGTCGACTTCACGGGTGATGTGAGATCGTGATTTGTGCACTCAAGACCTATAAAAAGGAGAATTAACTGAATTCAAAAGGGAGAGCCCTTGGGAGATTGGAGCTTCTTCTTTAAGGTTTAGGGAGAGAGAGCTACGAGCTTAGGAAGAAGAAAGGATAAATCCACCTACCCAAGGCTAGAGGAATGTGGATTTCTTCACCAAAGGTTGAATCAATCATCTAAACAGAAGAAAGATCATCTTGCTATAGGATTTTCTTCTCACTTATTTGTATTTTCTCCTCTAGCTATGAAGTAGTCTCCAATTTCACTTGGATGTTGTGAATCCAAGTCTAGGATGTGTTAGATTCTAGGAATTGAACTCTAGGTGTGTTGGGTTTGTGATTAATATAATATTTGAGATATTATTCGTGAAAATTGGGTGTTGATTGTTCATATCTTAATTTTGGGATACGTTGACCTAGAAGGAGGAAATCCGTTTATAGCTCAATCTTCTTTCCCATTTCCCCAAATTAACTTGTCATATTATAATTAATGGATGAATTGAATAAATATATGAAAGATTGTGGTTTGATTTTGACTAATTTAGCATATGTACAACAAATTTGCTAATGATATGATTTTATGCATAATTGTTTTCCAATACTTTGGATTTCATAGCTTATTTATTATATTTGATGGTTAACTAATTTATTTTAAACTTTGAATTAAGATATGGATAGCTTTTTGAAAAAGCAAACACAACTCCAAACTTAACCACTTCAAGATCAAGTGGTGAATGAGAAAGAGTAAAAGGAATTAGGATGAGTCTCAATCTTCTTCGTTTTTGGCGAATTAAATTATTGGTATTTCAAGTAAGTTTTCTTTATTATCGGAAGAAAATGAGAATGACAATGTTGAACTACAAATTTATGAATGATCGTTTAGATGTATATATATAGTTGATTTGCAACATAAACAGTGTATATATTTTATAAAACTTTCAAAATATGAAAATTCGTAGTTGGTTGCAAAAATAATAACATTATGAATTTTTTATTATGAAATCATACTATGTAGCATGGTCAATGAAACCGTACCAGAGACCGTATCGGAAAAGTTATAGTAGGATTTTTTTATATGATAAACCGTGATTTAAATATAGTTTCCAGTTAATTCTTTGAACCGGCGGGCTGCTCCTCGACCGCGCCGCCGTTAATTCTTTCTTTACAGCATTTTTAGTAATGTAAAAAATTTCCAGTTCCCTCAGGCTACAGCTTGGGGGGCCTTATCCCCAGCGCACACGTGTCCTCTTTCTTCTGAATCGGCTTCAAACGTTTATAAAGGCTAAACTCCTCAAAATTTGACCACCAATTTTATCCCCATCCATCTCCAACCCTCTGCTATAGGAAATCCAAAAGACGTAGTCGGAGTTACAGAGCAAGCGGATTCTTGACGACAAGGAAACCAAACCCCCTTTACTCTACTCTCTGCACACAGCAATCCTTCATCACAAGGAACAGAAAGTGGAGGGAAAAAGAAAAAAAGAAACAACCCCAAAAAGTCCAGTTCTTGATAAGATCTACTATAGTAATTTTGGCACCCCAACTCTCTCCACCTATAAACTGTTTGAAGAATCCCCTTCTCAGATCGCCAAATCCAATTCGATTCTCCCCCTCTCGGAGCCCTGTTTTGCAAATTCCATCCACCAATTCAGTCTTCACCCGAGAGAAAGACGGAGAGAGAGAGAGAGAGATGAATCAATACCACCAACACCACCGGCGGGCGAGGAGGATGGAGCCGGACAATGCGCCGGAGATATTCGCGGCCTTCTTCGAAGGTTGGCTGGTGAGGCAGGAGCAGTACCTGGAGGAGCTCCAGACGGTGAAGCAGAAGATGGAGGATTTGAGGGAGGACGACCTCCGGGACCTGGTGAACCGGGTCCTGACCCACTACCAGCACTACTTCGAGGAGAAATCCCGGGTCACCCAATCCGACGTGTTCGTTCTGTTCTCGCCGCCGTGGTTCTCGGCGCTGGAGCGGAGCTTCCTGTGGATAGCCGGGTTCAAGCCCGGGCTGGCGTTCCGGGTGCTGCGGGACTCGGTCAACGATTTGTCGGAGGAGCAGGAGCGGCGGATTGCGCGTGTCAGGGAGGAGACGAGGATGGAGGAGAGGATGCTCAACGACGAATTGGCCAGGATCCACGAGAGCGTCGGGGCCCCGCCGGTGAGCGGCTGGGGGAGGACGCGCGGAAGGGAGGTTCTGGCGGCGGAGGAAGGGAGTGGGAATGGCCCGGCGCCGGAGGCGATTAGGTCGGCCCTGGAGAATCTGGTCGGGAACGCGGATACGCTGAGGACCTACACGGTGATGAGAATCGGTCAGGTACTGAGGCCGAAGCAGAACGTGGAGTTTGTGGCGGCGGGGACCAGGCTCCAGCTCACCGTCAGGGCATTGGGGATGGGTAAAGCTGCTGTCGCCGCCGCCGCCGTCGCTCCAGATGAATCGCTACAAGACTCTGCTGCTGCTGCTCGTCGTCGCACGTAATTACTAACCATAGTAATAATAATAAAAATATATAATTTTGTAAAATCCCACTAGTCAGTCATATTTAGTTGGTTAATTAGTTAGTTACTTAACAAGAGTAATAAACCCCCACAATGGATGGTGGGATTATAAGAGCAATGGATCACAGGTGCTTCACTTTCAGTCCTTTTCATTCAAATTTATGGATTAATGGTGCTTTGAGTAGGTATCTTTGGGCTCTTCTAAAGCCTTCTAGATCTTTATATGGTGATTATTGTACTAAGTAGGTGATTATTGTACTGCTTATATTTGCTGTTTCACCAAGCTTATGTTTCCCATTGTGCTTGCCCAAATTTGCTCGTGCCTCGTGGTATAATGGATACGGCACCAAGATAAAAAGCTAACGAGTGTCATTATGTAAATTCGTCAATCACGACTTGCTTCTATAACGATTGAATCTTTACCTATAATTTGATCATCAGATAGTGCGAGGACGACGCTAGCCAAAATTGAGGAAGCAAGACATTAATTAATTGATAAGGAGTGACATCCCATTTATTTCAAGGTCTTGATCATACAGAACTAAAACAACACTTTCTATTATTGTTGGCACCTTAATTATCAGATAGTATGGGAAAATCGTATGCAGTGCCACCTTTATTATTAATAGTTAAATTATTATTACAGACGGTATTTCATTTCCCGTAATATATAATTATTATTATAAGCGGCTTTGTTTGGTGAGAAAGGTTGGCTTGAAGCTGGCGATGCCAGTGACTTCCCTTGCTGTCACCAAGCTGTTGATGTCGTAAGTTCCTTCGTATGTGTAAATCGGCTCCAGATCGCAGAACGCCTGCAAAACCAACCAACAGCATCTCATCATCATTTCCTTTTTCCAGTCAAGCAAAAGGGTTCTAGTTCCATAAACAATTCTTCTTTTTGGAACATGGGAAAGAGGAAAAAGGGAGCGCATCACCACCTTGGCAACTAGGAAATCACCCAATACTCCATTCCCACCAAGAAGTTCCCTCCCCAGTGCAGCCGTTTCCCTCGCCCTCAATGTGATCCATGACTGCCACCGATAAACACACAAACAACCAATGTGATCAATGGAGCTTCAAAAGCTGAACCTTGAACATCTGGCTAGTGGGGTTTAGGATGAGCACCATACCTTTCCTAAACTGGCTTGACCTGGAGTCATCGTGCCGGCTTCGTACAACTTGCAGAGCCGCCAACCAACCAGGGTCATGGCTTGGATGTTGCCAAGCATCTGAGCAAGCTTCTGCTGGTTGATCTGGAAAGCCGCCAACGGTGCCTTGAACTGCTTCCTCTCTCTAAGGTACCTGTGGCACATGTCGTAGATCCCCATGCATATCCCGATCGGCTGCCAGGCCACCATCACACGTGAAACAGCCAGCACCTGGTTTCACAGTTGACAAAGCCAGCAAAAGCTCGATATGAGATTTATTTCGTGCAAAAAATCTGATTGCCTGGTAAGTTTGTGTTCATTATTTTCAGGATATTTAAGAAGAATCAATGTTCGAGCAACTAACCTTGGCTGTGTCTTGGAAGGAGTTGACCCCAGGCAACCTGTCCTCGTCAGGTACAAAAACTCTGTTCATGACAATGTCTGCATTCTGCACAATTCGCAGGCCGATTTTGTTCTCTATTTTTGTAGCTGTTAGTCCAGGGGCGTTCTTCTTCACAATAAATCTGAAACAACAGAGAAAAGTTATCTGAAATCGAGCCAAGCGCAGAAAACAGAAGAGTTAAAGTCAGCATTTACTGTAAATGCGGATTTAGGGACGCAGTAGCCCTTCACGAACAAAAATAAACTGCACCGTCTACTTTCGGATGAAGAACAAATGATAAGGTAGGATAAACTTGACTGATCTTGGCTTCACTTGTAAATGACAATAACTGTCAAATCATCTTTTTAAACTACTGCTCCCCAATCTCTACCTTTTGGATTCTAAGGAGTTAAAGACCTCACCGAAACACTCGCTAACCATTTCACTTTTATATAAATCAAGAGAAGCATCATGCTCGCTCTTAAATCTTTGAAAAAACAGTAGTCCACGAGTGAGGCTTGATTATTATGTCAATACGCTAGCAACAATAGGACCAGAAAGGCATCAGTTGGTTTTTCCTTTCTGCAGTGGCATACCCATTAATCTGATTTGTTGAGGCATTTCGGGCAAAGATAATCAATACATCCGCAAAGGTACCATTTCCGATCCAACGTTTTTGGCCTTCGAGTATCCAACCACCAGCAACCTATATCCCAGCACAAAAGCAATTATGTGATCCATACTCAAAGCTCTAAGAAACACTCAACAAGATTGAAATGAAGAGGACATAATACGAACAAGAAAGGACAGACCTTTGTGGCTGTTGTTCTCAAAGCACTAGCATCGCTTCCATAGTCAGGCTCAGTCAAAGCCTGTGACGAAACCAGAGAACAAATATCTGAATCACAGGAACTGCCGCATAAGAGCAGCCACAAAATACTTCTGCAGCTGAATTAGTTACCTACCCAACATGCCACATTGCTTAATTGTGCCAACGATGGTAAATATTTCTGCTTTTGTTCCTCTGAACCACAGAGAGCTGTTCTTGGCAATCACAATAAATGTGAATCAAGGTCAGCATTCACCATTCAGAACCAGTATAACTGTGAGATATACTCCAAAATATAAGACTTAAGGAGCTTAGGAGCTCACCTATGGTGAGCATTGCTAAAGATGAGTGCACCAAAATGAAAGTAGAACAGCTAGCATCCACTCTAGCAACTTCGGCAGTGGCAAGAGCACTGCCAGTGATGGAAAGGCCAGGACATCCATAACCCTGAGAATCAATCACATCATCAGATGACAACCATTAATTCCTCCAGGAACAGAACAGAAAATAGAAGGGCAAGAAAGAAAGCAAATTTCACCTTGATTGTACCACCTGCAACACACATTTCACCTAGCTTCGGAATGACATGAAATGGGAACTTTGCCTTCTCCCAGTACTGAGGAAAGAATAGCAGCAAACATTCAATTGTACATTTCTTCTTCTTTAAACATCATCTATAACCAATCCAACACGGCATGACGGACTTAATCCGACATTAACAGTAACATAATAATGAAATCTACCTCAGCCATTACAGGGGCTACTTCTTTCTCCATACACTGCCTGACTTGGAGCCTTATAGCCTGCTCCTCAGGGGTCAACAGATCATCTAACTGGTAGTAGTCCGCAACTGCAAACGGTACAAAAGATAAGATTAAGCAATGAGCAAAACGAGGATCCCCCAAATAAACATCTTTTAGATACTAAAACCGAAATTCCCAAGACGCCTTGTTACCATGAGTAGGAAATTTGGAAGCTGGAGTTGCCTGAGGGAATGCAACGGAGACATCCAGAGGAGGGGAATTGAAATAGGAACTCCTCGCACTGCCGTTAAGTTCATCTACAAAAACAGTGAAATTGTATGTTTGATCAGCACAGTTAAGATAAACCTATCCTTCGCCGCATCTAAGCATCATCATAAAAGGAAAAAGACCCAGATGAAGGAGAGCATATCTGATCGGTACAGAGGGACCATATCACGAGAACATGAAACTGGTAACTCCAAATTTCTTTTTGCAGATTCGATGTAACAGGCTAAAGTAAAACGAGTACAAGCCCAGACAGCCCTTATTCAGAAAATTTCAACCGGTGGTGGCCTTAACAGAGCAGGAAGCATTAAATTCCCAGGAAGGGACTTAAAAAGGGAAAATAACCGAATTCTCACGAGTCACGACCAGTGATTTAATGGAAGATTTGAAATTTGATCTTGTCGGAGGGAAAAGCACGCACCTTGATGAAGCTTGGATCCCAGAACTGTCATGATTGACTGCAGCGAGAAATGAAGCCCTTCTTCTTCAATTGAGCAAAGCGACCAAAACCAAAGAAAGGACAGAAAGGGCTAATCTTTTTGCCTTTTTGGGAACGCAGATAGAGTAAGGAAAATGGATATGGCGAGGGGCACGCAAATCTATGCCAGCGTTCTGGCAAGTTGGCAGCTATAGCACGGCAGGTGGCTTTAAAAACCCAATTGGGTAGATAGATAGATATCCGAGGGCGAGAAGACGAAAGTTTGCAAGTAGAAACTAGAAAGTGAAAGCTTGGTTAACGGTTTAAGCGTTAATTAACCTCACAGCGTTAGAATTAAATTTAAATCGGAGAGCAACCTTCGGTTCGGTATAGGCGCGTGCGTTATTCGCTGTTCAGATACGATATGGGCCTGTCCGCAACGCAGCTACTGGTGTCGTTTAGAAGGGGAAAATTCGAAGAAAAATGGAGATGCGGGGTATCGATCCCCGTACCTCTCGCATGCTAAGCGAGCGCTCTACCATCTGAGCTACATCCCCAGTTTTGACTCAAAATGATTACGTTAGAACTAGTTCTATGGGAAATGGGATATGAACCACGATGATGGTGACTGTGACAGAGCAGGGCCAGTTGTGATGGGTATCTCCGTCCAAGAATGGAACTTCTGTCAAATCTTAACCCGCAACAAGAACACTAGTAAAAACAGGGAATAACTCCAAAATATGGAATAATATCCCAGAAAATCAGAACTTTAGAATCCGTGGTAACTTGATTATGGGAACAATGAACGACTCTTACATGTCGGATACTGAACCAGAAATCTTTGGTTGTCTTTTGCCTGAAGTTTTAAAGGCTGTAAAGAAGACCACAACATGGATCATTCTCATATGCATCTTTATACCGAGAATTTCTCTCATATGGAGAGCAAGTTTACAAAACCAACCCCATTTATGAACTTGTCTCGTGAAGCACGTTATGAATCTGACTCGTCTCTTCTTCCCTTTCTGTTCCGTCTTCTCAATATTCCCACTGTTTACTTTCTCCTTATTGTCTTTTGACAGAGACAACAGCAGAGCTGCAGAATGAGGCATAAGACTTCTGTCAAGGTAATCGAGAAACGGAAATGGTGTCACATATGAATGATTAATGCAGCAATTAGTTGCGGTTCTTTATGCAGCTATGGCATGTTGTGCCCTTCGAGCTTTGGCTAGCTTTAGATTCGTCTTGTCGCTGCTCCTGAGATGCAGAGGACTGCATGTGGATTTGATGACCTTAGAATTACTAAACCAGTAAACCCTTTGACCACAGGTTTGGTTGAAGCTTCTTTTTTTTTTTTAGTGGATTCTTGTACATGAGATTTTCCATCTTTCTCGTTGTTACCAATTAAAGAAGGCGCCTAATATAGCGCCAAACCACCATCGTTGGTTCTTAGGAGTCGAGCCAGAGGTCAGCAATCGTCTTTGTTGTTAGAAAACGCACATTTCTTGGGAGGCCAGTTTTTGTTCGTTATTTAAGAAGCGTGGATCTTCAAAAAAACAAAATCCAAACCATTCTCTCTCTCTCTCTCTCTCTCTCTCTCTACATTCTATCCATTTCCGCTCTCAACAAGCCTTCTTCATGATCTGCGGGTGTCTTTCTGAGTCTCAAACATACAGCAACCCTTCCAAAATGACGACAACAGCCTCCTCCCTTGGTATGAACGACACCAGGTTTTTCCTTCTTTTCACCATAGTTAGATTGATGATCAAATAAATGGGTTTCTGCGTATGTTAACAGAGAACAGAACGGAAAGGGCGCAACTTCTTGGTGGTTCAAACAACGTCACAAAGCCTAAAGCCATGACTCCTGAGGAAATCAGAGCCAAATACAGGAAATCTGCGGTGAGCTTCTTTTCTTCAGGAAGTCCTTTCTATAACATTCTCCATTTAGGAATAGCTTCCGTTTCCTAACTCGATGATGTTGGTGCCAAAAAAAAAAAAAACGCTCAGAATAATGTCTCTTCAGCTGCTGCCCACGCAAAGAACATGCTTGTAGAAAGAAAAGAGAAATTGGAGGTGAGACACCAACTTTATTTTTTCATCTTGTTTGTAAATGGGTTCGACCATTGAATATATACGGCTTTGTATCTGCTCGACCTTCATGTTCGTGATAGATGGCTATGGTTTGCATGACATGTAAACGTATCAAACTCGCTTATTTTCTTCTCGTGACCCCGATGAGCAAGCATAAATATGATGCTTACGACTTACCCTATTCACTAGGATAGTCAGATTTTTGTTGACGGGTTTCATACAGTTCCAAGTTTGCTTGGGGGAATTATTGTTTGCATCAGAAAATCAGTCAGCATTCAGAGGAGCTGGAAAGTAGATCTCAAGACTATGCATCAATGGCCAAGGAGCTTGCCAACAGAATGGAGAAGAAGAAATGGTGGCAACTCTGAGCCTGTCCAGAAGACCAGAAGAAGACTCGACGGCCAGTAGTGATACTGAAGTCTGATGTTCAATTCAATACAATTCCTAGCTATGCATCTAATTAGACGGTAGAGTTTAGACCATACCATACTTTCCGGCCTGCAATTAGCAGAGAACAATTGCTAGTGCTGGTACAAGAGTTTCAATAAGATGATATCCTTGTAAGATATCCTGGTACAAGAGTTTCATACCTCCCTGGCTTTTCTGCTTTCATAACCATGCAATGCAGCAGGTGAGGAAGGAAATAAAAAGAGAATGATATAGCAATGATTCTAACAAAGAACAGTTCGGATTGAAAAGTACTATGATTGCTCGATTTGCCTTTGATACGATACTATGAAGTAATTGAAACCCGCACACAAAACTATCATGTCTTTGTGAAGCTTGGGCCTAGATCAAACTGTGTGTGAAAAGTGAAGATATAGCAGAGAAATAAAAGGCTACAAGTTGAATGGAAAAGTACACAGATGCATCTTGAAACCCCTTTCCTTCAATATCATACTCGTGTGAAGCGCAGCATCCAGAGTATAATAGAGATTCCAAAGAGGGCAGCAAAGGTCAGGTGGCTGCTATCTCCCTAGAGAACGCTTGGTGAGTAAGCCAGCTTTTTCCCAACCATATCCCTCAGCTCAATTTCACCAGGGAACCTGTGCTCTTGCAGCTTAGAGAAAACCTGGGAGCAAAGACGAGATTAGCTCGCGTTTAAAACAACATTAACACAAAAGACAACCATCACAACAACAAAATCCTACATAAAGAGAGACCAAGGTTTAAGCTTTACCATGTCCCCGTTGCAGTAAACTTCAAAGGCACCAGAGCTCTGGAGGAAGGACTGGAAGAAGTTGCCTAACATCCAAGCACTTGCAATACTTCCAAACCTGTTGGCTCGCAAGGAATAGTACCAAGCAGGCGGAGCAGCAAACCCTAGCCTGGGGAAAATCTGCTCACCTCCCATAATCAAACCAATCATCCCAAACTGAAACACTGGCACTAGTTTCCCCAAAAGGCGTTTTGGCAGTGGTGGTGGGTAATTCGCTAAAACCACTTGCAGGCCAGGGAACTCAGACTCCAACATGTTCTTCATGGTTACAGCAGTCCCTCTGTCAAAAACCGCACCTCAACTTAATCGCTACATCTAGTCGCCATTCTAGTTCAGTTCAGCATTGAAATACAGGGGAAAGGGAGGCCAAACCTGTAAGAGCAAGAACAGCAGAAGTTGATGTTAACTGTGCTGCCAACGCCAGCGCTGCCCAATCCTCCGATCGAGGTAGTCGATTTCTAACAAGTCGACGGAAGCGAAGAAAAAAGGTTAGAATTTATAGGGTGCCCAGATCGAATTCAAAGGAGAACACATGGCGAGAGAGATCGAAACGGGATATGCACATACCTGGGTGGGGAACTGGAGGGGCTGCTGCGGCTGTTGGAGTTTGGGCGGGGATTGATGGATATGGATATCGCCATGCTTGGATGGTTTGGGAGGCGGAGGAGAAGTTAAGAAGAGGTTGAATACATCGGAGCAGAACAGAAAGATTGGTAACCCTAACAGCAGGATTTGAGATCGATCCATCTTTTCTACCGCTTCCGGAACGCTGGAAGGAAGCGAGGAGAGGGAGAGGGAGAGGACGAGAGCTACGAAACGATGGACGAAGGAATCAAAATGGAAGCGGACTATTCGTTTCCAACTCTGCTAGTGCTAGGAAACGCCTTAACGCCAGCCAGTAAGACTTACTGGCAATGGGTCGGGTTGGGGCGGGTTTTGTCAAACCCAAAAATCCATGGGTTTATCCGTCAAAAAAATCCGGGTAAAATTTGCTGGGTTTGAACAACTCAAACCCAACCCAACCCGCTGGGTATCCGCGGGTTCATGGGTAACCGTGGGTTTTTGTGGTAAAAAATTTACAATAACAAATTTCTTTCAAAATAGAAGTTTAACATCAATTTTCTCATACAAAATTATTCATACAAAAAACACCAATCTAGAGCATACAAGCAAACCGCAAATGATCAATACAAATTGTTTAAAATTAAAGATAAACATCTATAAACAATAAGATTAATTGAAAGCTTCTTCCTTGTCAACTAAGTTTCTTCACTCTCCACTTCATAATATCAACTTCATTCTAAACAATTAGAAAGAACAAATTATACATGTCTCCACAAACATAAAGAATATTAGTTGTTTAAGAAAGATATATTATTTAGAATATTAAATATACCGGGAAAATAATTATATGTGTGTGGGAGGGTACCCATGGGGCGGGTGTACCTAAAACCAAACCCAACCCATCCGGTGAATAGTATAGCGGGTTTAAACCCAAACCCGGTCCAAAACCCGTCAACACGGGTTTTACCCGTGTTGACTGGGTTGGGTCGGGTGGGTACCCGTGGGTTCGGGTTTTATTGCCATCCCTACCAGCTAGTGATCCGAGTCCCTCGTGGATGAAGATGTTGAATGTTGGATAGGAATAGGGCTGGAAGTTTGGTACCGGTATTTGGTATATACTGAATACCGTGTCGAATTTGTCTATATTTGGTATTACCGAATACACGTATTATTTCATGGGATTGAGATTTGGATTGAATTTCAATTGTTATTCGGTATTAGGGATTACGGGATTGGGATCGGTATATACCGAAATACCGATCAATACCGAAATATAAGCTAGTATGTATTTTATCCTCTCAACAAGACTCTCTCATTCACTACTACGTGACCCTCAACCATCAAAAGTGTCATTTAATTATACATAGATCATTACATCACTATTTTACACTAGTATTAGCCGTCTCTCAACCTCAAATTCGTCAAATTAAAGATTACCAATTACAAGAACTTGAGATGTTAGCTCTAGGCAACTCAAGACTATTTGTTTAGTCTCTGCCCTAAATTAAACAATAAAATCTAATTTATATATTTAATTATTAATTGCAAAGGTAATTAATCATGTATTCGATAATACTGATTGGGACACCGAGGTACCGATTGGGATACCGAAATTATTTAGAGATTGGGATACCGAATTTATTTAGGGATTGATTTTAGGGCGTAATTCGGTATTCGAGATTTCGGTATTTGGTATTGGGATACCGATACCGTACCGATTTCCACCCCTAGATAGGACAAGGTTGTCAACCCGCGGGTCGACCCACTTTGATCCTATCATAGTGAGAAAAACGAGTTGCACGCATCTGTCGGGTCGATCGCTACAAGGTATTGGGTTGGAGGTCAAATTGTGTCATTTTTTTTGTTGTTGTGAAATGTGTCTATTTTCCAATTTTTCTTTTCGCTTAACTCAATTTTTGGAATCCTTAATTGAACATTTAGATATTGATGTTATACAAGTGTGTGTGAATTTTCACTATATGTTTGATCTAAGTACGACATGTTACTTTGGTGTAATGTTATATGTTACTACTCATATGTTGATGAGATTTTATATAATTTATCAGGATAAGTACAATATAATGGCTATTTCCATATTTTCGGGCTAAAACGGGCTAAATGGTTGACCTGTTGACCCTTGACCCGCTAGTTCGATCGGGTCCGGGTCAACCCGCGGGTTGACAACCTTCATGCTGGAGTCTTGACTTTTCATTCTTTGAATTTTACTGCACGTTCTTCAATAAAATATTGAATTATTCCTGTTGATGCCAAGCTCCGAGGAACCTGCTTCAATGTGTTTGAGGTCCGGTGAGCGTCGGACTTCCTGGCCAACATCCGCCGCCACCTGCCTCCGAGATGGACACCTACAAAACAAAAGGATCCGTCGGCCGGTGGTCAGCGGGGACCTGCTCCGAAGCTCAAGTCAGTAGTTGAGAGGAGAGTAACTGGGAGCGGCATAGTAAGCCGTCTCTAGAGAGAGATATAGAGTTCTACCCGAAAATGAAAATCTTAGGAAACATAAATGGGCGTCCTATTTATAGGTGTCTCCTGCTTCTAACATGGGTGCATACTTACGTATTGATTAAATTGATAAATTAACATAAGAATGTAAAATTCAACTTGATTGGGTGAGGGTAACCACCCATGTACCATTAGTATCCTCGCAAGCACAATAAAACCCATACATAACTAGCACATATAGAGAGGAAATGAAATGATATACCTTCCCACCTTGCTCCACGTGCATGTGTATGAGTCTAGGGTGGCTAGGATGTGATAAAAGAGATATGTAATACAAATCCATCAAAAGGGTTTAGTACTTGAGGAGATTGGGTTAGTGAAATGGTTAATGGGTGTAGAGTACATAAAAACACCTTTATGTGCGTGTAATTTGTATGTACAATTGGTGTGTTCGATTGGTGGGGAAAGATTGTCACAAATCCATACACCCAATTTACCTTCTCTCTCATTTGAGCAAAATGGGCCAAGTGCAGGGGTTTTTAGGGTAAGTATGAGACTAAGTGCATGCTTGCTTAATCTCTACATACACACGTGTAACTTGGGGAGGTGAGGTTATTTTCAATTTGTGTCCATTTGGGGGTAAACTCTCCACCCATCTAGTAAATAAAGAACCATAGTTAGCTAGTACGTGTTAGTGAATGACATGAGGGTGGGATTGTTTGCACCTTGTCACACTTTGTTACTGTAACACCCTACCCTATACGTTTTGCCTAATCATATTGTTCATACAATTGCAGCGGAATTAATCTCCGGCGTTACATTAATTATCAAAATTTACCCAAATAAAATTTCGACATGAATTACTCGCGTAATGGGCTAACAGTTCTTGCAACTTATCCTGCAAAATAATTCATCACAAACATATATACTCACAACCATATGCATTGGCTTTTCATAGCCATAGTCACAGTTTCATACTACACAACTGCATATCATACTAATACAAGCCATAATCGTCATAACTTACACAATTACAAAAATATACACATATCATCAACTTTCCACACCTGTGGATATCTCACACTACATTCGAAGCTAGTATGCACATGAAAATGTTCTCAAAACATTTTTACAAAAAGGTGTGGATCACTGTCCAAAATCCCGATTAGTAGTCCAAGCACAGAGTAGTTGAAGACCATACCTCATCTTGCCTCAACTCTTGCTCATCTCCACCTATACACCTATCTACTGCTGCTGCTGATGATCTGCTTACACATAGCATAAGCAGAGAAGAAGAATAAAAGAGGGTCAGCTCATAGC